AGAGTCTTTTTAGTGGTTAATCATTGTAAATTAATTTAACTTTCTTTTTTTTTTTCATTATATCTAAAGATGTCAGTTGTTTTCAGTTAGGTCATTTAAAAGAAAGGTAATAGATTTGCCACATTCCCAGAGACACTATACATACTCAAATGTATGGATTGCATCCCATTCTTTAGTAGACAGGTGTTTGTTAAAAATACCTGTTTTATAAAGTTTATCTCGTGACCAGTTTCTCTGTGTTTGTGTCTGTAGTGTGTGCCTGACATACCTTCCAAATAATAAGTTAGGCATGCACTTCATATTCAAAAGACAAAGTAATTGAAGTCTTGTCATCCTTGTTCCAACTACATGAAATAGTAGTAGAAAGTGGGGGTATTTCAAACTAAATGGCATGGACATACACATTTTCTTTAGCATATTTTTTTTCTTACATCTGTAACAGTCATTCTCTTGCTCTGTCCCTCTGGTTGAGCCCATATTTGCATTTAGGTGACATTTATTCCAATCACCTTAGGCTATATCAACATCGTCTAAAAATACTTTGACAATGATGAAAAATTCAGTATCTGTTTTTCCCACCATGGGAGCCATTAACTACACACATTTGGCTATTAAGTACTTGAAATGTAGACAGCACAGCTTTGCAAGTTTGGTTTTTAACTTCACTTAAGTTTGAGTTTATGTAGCCAGGTATGATTTGTGGCTACCATAATCACAGCAGAGAGGTCTAGGTTTTTGTGTGGCCATTGTACCCACTCTTCAAAATATTTTCAAATAAATATGCCATTATGCCTGCTTATCTCATTGTTTTCTGCTTCTACTTATTATATTTTTATTATATATTTTAAAAATGTGCTCTATCTATCCAATGTTATAGTTGAACCATTGTGGAACATTAGACACAAGAAAATTTATATTTTCTTTTCTGAAGAGCAATTGCCCAATAACCATTTTCCATCCCTGAAACACATATTCCTTCCTCATTAGGAGTTCCTGTCATAGATACTAGTGTCTTTAGTCTGTTTGACCTGCTGCAACAAAACCCCACAGGGTGGCTAATAAACAACAGAAATTTATTCCTCACAGTTCTGGAGGCTGGAAATTCAAAATAAGGGTGCCAGAAGATTCGATGTCTTGGGAGGGCCTGCTTTCTGGATGACAGGTGGTGCCTTCTTGCTGTGGCTTCCCTTGGGGGAAGGGACTATGGAGTTCTCTGGAGCCTCTTTTATAAAGACACTGATTACATTCACAAGGACTCCACACTCAGGTCCTAAGTACCTCCCCAAACCCCCACCTCCTAATACTATTGTCTTTAGGGATTAGGACTCAATATTTGAATTTTGGGGAGACACAGACATTCAGATGATACCATTTTTCATATAAGTCATGGCAAATTAATGTGCTGACCAACACTTGTTTTTTTTTTGACATTCTCTACACTAAAGGCATTATCTAAAGGCAATTACCCAAACTGTAATGAATTTTGCAATATTTCCTACATTAAAAGTAGTCTACACAAATTATTCAGTGGTGAGGCCTATCAATGAAAAATTACCATTTCGAGGGTAGAATTAATTAGAAGGGAAAGAATGAGATGATATGTTTGCATGGGAAACATATGCAACATTGAAGATTACACAGGTGCTTCTTTCTTTGATGTAGGAGATCAGAATCACATAAAAGTGTGATGACCACTAGAGAATTTAGTAAGTAGAATAATCAAATTTTAAAGCTGGGAGGAATGTTGACTATTTCTCAGTCTGGATCTCTGTCAGTGTGGCATGGTATTTAATTAACAGTGACTTGATATCTGGAGAGCTGTGGCTTAACCTAAAGCAAGTTACTTGTTATCTCTAAATCTGTTTCCTTATCTATAAACCGTGACAATAATAATACATAACTAATATATATAAATATATAAAATCTTTGATTGAGCTGGTGCATTTGGTAAGTGAGAAGATACATTGGAAATGTTTAGCACAGCACCTGGTACGGAGTGTCCTACTTTAGTGGTAGGTAACTGAGATATAGGGAGATTAGTATCTGTTTCAATAAGAACTGAGGAGTAGCAGCAGCAAACAGAATGGCACCACACAAGGGCCAGTCATTTAATTAATGAAATGACTACTCCAAGAGCACAGAACGCATTAGTGGTCTGCAGAGAGCAAAGTCATGTCAGCTTTTTCCCAGCATAAATAGATGCAAATATCACATGAGCTTGAAAACATGAAAGTTTTGAAGACAGAGTTTTGTTTTGTTTTTTTTAACCAAGTGCAGCCTTTTGAAAAAGTATAATTATGTACATTTTCTATTCAATCCACTTTGTTTCTATGGGATAATGGGGAGCACAATCTTAAGACAGACTTAAAAATACATATAGGTAATTTGTATCCATCTTGAATTTAACTATTATACAAATTCTAATAGTTAAAGTATTCTTCTTGAAAGATTTTCTGTTTTACCAAAAAATTTTCAAGCACATTTTTGGGGATTTATACAGCTTAGCAAACACCTAAGGATTATAAAGGTAACACAGAAGATGGGGAAAACATTATTTTTATAATTTAGACAAAACAAATAGAATGTGTTATCTGGACAAAGTAAAATAATAGTATGATTAATAGTTTATTTTATTTATATATTTCATTATAGTTTTGAGAGATTTTAAATTATTCATATATTGGTTTATTTCATAAATTATTACTGAGCATCTTCTATATGTTCTGTCTGAAGCTAATTTTAGTGATTATTATCTTGAACAAGAGACACGTGGTTCCTCTCATGGGGCTTACAGAAATTTGCCACATCTTATGTTTAGTATACACTAAAAGCTCAATGCATATTAGCTATCACTTCAAAATAAAGAAAATAAAGACCTGTAAAAGAGAAATATAAATATATAATGCTAAATAGGGTTAAGCATGTATTGTATTTAATGTGACAATAAAAATAGTGAAAATGTGTGACTTACCAAATAATCTCTTATCTAGGATAGATTTTTGCTCCAAGCCTGTGGTAATAACTGAAATTATGTTTATAGTCCTGATACTGCTGTGCGTGTGTGTGTGTGTGTGTGTGTGTGTGTGTGTGACAGAGAGAGAGAGAGAGAACACAAAAACTGGTCTCTTTTATTGTTTACCTATAAGAGTTTACTTACAGAAATATCTAGCTTCTGTAAAAGGAGTTTGAATCCCTATAAAACCCAAGAGATGCTACAAGACAATTCAGGATCTCAATTCATTAAAATAAGAGATGTTCCAAAAACTGTAATAGAAAGTCAAAGGAAAGTAAAATGGATACTTCGAACACCAGAGAGAGGGTGACAAATGATTTTTAAGTTTGATTGGTTTTGTTTTCATAAACAGAAAATCATCAAAGAGAAAAGTTAACAATAAAAAGGTGACAGGTTTCCCAAAGTAGTTATCTTTATGTCTAGCTTCTCTAGCAATCCTGTAACCCTGGTTTTCTCTTCTGAAGGTTGTGAGGATGGGTGGAGCTGGAGGATGAGGATGAGAGCTGGGCACTGAGGAAGGCTGCTCCGTGGATGGCTGATTCTTTCTCAGTAGCCCTCCTGTACAGGGGCACAGCGCTCGAGTCCTTCTCATACTATGCCCACTCTCCCTTCCTCTGCCCACAGAGACCGTTTCCCACTTGCAGTCATCTCAGAGACACACTTGGCAACTATCTCCCCAAATCCATTAAAAGTAGAGCAAGTGCTTGCCCAAAGTAATCAGAGAAGTGCGAAGACAAATCCTCTCAATGAAATGGGAAGTCCGGGCAATGATTTCACAAAGATTCCACAGACTTGAGCCATGTCCCTCCCCTCCTTCCCCTGCCCCTCCTCCAAAGCTCTTCATCCCTCCACTTGGCTTTTGGGAGGCTGCTGGGTAAATGCAGGTAGAGGAGCTGAAGAACAGTGGTCTGTTCATTACTTATGTATTGAAACAGCTTGAGAGATTTCCAGAGAAAGTTAGTCTTTGAAGGTATGCGCATCAAATGGACATAATTTGTGTGTGACTGTGTGTGCATATGTGTGTACAAGGACCCATAGTCTATGCTACGTTTATCTGTCAAGGAGAGGCAGTCGACAGTCCCAGTCTCTTACACATTTCGAGAACAGGACCAGATTTTATCAGACCCCAGATCAGACAAGTTTCTTTGATGCACTTTGGGTGCATTTCTAGTGACTGGGGAAGCTTAGCACAGCGTCTGAAAAATAACTGCCTGCTCTGAGCTCTTTGGACAGGGGCATCTTACCCACCTGCCATTGTGGATACTTCTGTTTCCCTTGTTTATTTATTTTTACCATCCAACACTGCACCCTTTCATTACTTAACCTCTTTCTACCTGGGATGGACCTGCCTGTGCTCTGCCTCCCTCCGGCCTCCCCCTCCCACCCCGCGTCTCACCCCCTCGGGAACCTGTGTCAGTGTTTTGAATCCCTAGACTACTCTAGCAGTGAAACTAGACAGATCAGGAGCTAAGGCACATTTGACTGAAAAGCAGCTTTTTGTTTTCTTCTTATGCTGCTTCCCCTTCCTCTTTTCCCAAATAGACATGTAAACACATGTATTTTTTTTTTTTTTTTTTGTTTAGATTTAGCGAATTGGTCCTCTGTGTGTGCCTTGATTTAGCTATTGGGTTGAGCCTTGCTCCTCCCTTCCCTACTCGGATAGGAGCCACTGGGATCTGGAGCTAGAGCTTCCAAATTGAAGCTGGCCCCAGGCCAGGTGACCTTTTCTTTGTAAGTTTCTTTCCTAAGCAGAGTTTGGGGGTTGGAGGGGGGCGGGGAGCTGGGATCTGTTTGGTGCTGTTTGGAGGGGTAGTGAGGAAGGGAGGGGGGTGGAAGAGAGTGAAGGGCTGTTGTTAAACAGTTTCTTACCGTAAGAGGGAGTTCAGACCTAGATCTTTCCAGTTAATCACACAACAAATTTAGCTCATCGCAATAAAAAGCCGCTCAGAGCCGACCGGCTCTTTTAGGCACTGAGTCGAAACAGGAATCTTTCACCCAGGCATCGCCTCCAGTGGGATCTACCAGCGCCCAGCACCATGTGGGTGACCAAACTTCTGCCAGTCCTGCTGCTGCAGCATGTCCTCCTCCATCTCCTTCTGCTTCCCATCGCCATCCCCTATACAGGTTAGTTCTCTCTTCTTCTTCATTATCATCATCATTATTTTAAGTCTCTGTTACTAATCTTTCCTTTGCCTAACACTTTCTCTTTACCCCAGTCCCAGCATCCTTTCTTACCTCAGTGTGTGGTGAGGGAGTTTAAAACTTCTCATTGTCCTTTCTTTTGATCTATTTCTATTTGCAAAGCATTTAAAATGATAACATCCCCTCAGTGTGTCTCCCCCACCCCCACCCCCTGCTGACCCAGCCCCTTCTCCCTTCACCTAATGGTTGTGGACTGACTGTAGAATAGGAATGAAGTGCTAACACTGGCTGGAACTTGGCTGATTTGGCCAAGTTTAAAGCTGCACAGAAGGTCTAGTCTGGAGAGGGGAGAGCGTTGGTCAGGACAGCAGGGAATCATTTTCTTCCAGAGGATAATTTTCCATGACAACCCACTACCCCCACATCACTTGGTCATCATTCAGAACCAAATTATGGCTTTATGCAGGTTTACATTTGGAGAAGGCAGGTTAAACTCTGAATATGTGCATATTATGAAAATGAAAGAGAAAGCCTTCCTTCTAAGATCTCATTCTTTCTGGGTAGGGGTGCCTGCCTGCCCTTCTGAAACTGCAGGGCAAGGAAAGCAAAGACCGTGGGACTTGGATTAAGGCTGCGGAACTTCTTTCCGTGTCCCATTTTCTCCCCTGAACTTACAGGTTGGGAAGGAGTTGCTTGGGAGTTCAGGTTGCCTGAAAGTTGAGAGATTTCATTTGCTGGTTTGGGAAGTTTTCTGTTGTAATCAGGGCAAGAGGAAACATCTGCGTTTGGTTGTATTATCATTGTAGTGGCTGGTATGCCAAGGGGAGAAGGTAGTGAGCATCATGGGTGGGCACAGGGGAATAGAAGGGTGGAACAAAAACCCAGCTGGTAGACATGGCCTTTTCATAATCTAAAACAGAAAGCTGGCTATATCTTTTAAGATAAGTTAAATATGAAATTCATCAGATCTCTGATATAGTTTCTGATGTAATACAAAGGTTGAAAACATCAAGGATTTGCTAAATGATAAGAAATCATTCAATCCACCTGACTTTCTTCTGTTTTGTGAAGTGGCCCCTTTGGAAAACACCACTGTGTGGGAAGGGTCCGTTTGAAAACATTTAGGTCAGATTTCTAAAGAGGTGAAAAAGAAGTGAGTGCAGTCACCAGGTTATCATGCTTGAGTGTCATGTTAAAATAGATTCTTCTAAGATGTTGCTTGTTTAGGGGAATTTGAGCATAAATTGGAACCCTGGCTAATATTCAAGGGCTTTCATTTTTAAAGGTTGAAATGCTGATGGTCTGAAGTAGACTACGGTTACCTGAAATCATCTGTGCTGATGCAAGCAAGGGCAAGGCAGTGTGGAAAACCCAAACAGTAGATCAACCATAGACAATGTCTATTTATTTTTGGCACGCATTACGAAGTTTTGGCAGGGGATATACATTCGTAATTATATTTCACTTTGGCTAATGTTGAAATGACTGTGCTTCCTGAGTATAGGGAAAATGTAGCCCAAGAGTGTGCTGGCAGGCGAGGAGAGGCCAATTGGGAATTACAGATAGGCTGTGAATAATTCCTGAAGTGTATAATGCTAAAATTGTCATCAAAAGAGGGTCTGCCTTTGTTGGGTGGCAAGTTTATTTTGATAGTTTTTTAAATAACATTCTTCAAAATGGAAAATGTGGATAGCCCTCGTAGAACATACAAGGAAAGTTTGTTCTTTTTTATATCACCTAATGTTAAACATTTACAATTTTTTGTTGTTACTTCGGTTATACTTTTATCTTATGCATTTATATTGTACATATTGTTAAATAATGCAATGTTAGAAAAGAATTGAATACTATAATGAGGTGACATCCAGTTATGAGCAGAATGTATCATGGAGATATTTTATTTAAAAACTTTCTTACGAAGTATTCAATGCAGTGGACTCAAGCCATTTCTATAGAAGTTGGTCTACAGAGAATTACCCTCCATCTTCTCCTACCTACATTGGAAAGAGATATCCAATTCCTTGTAACAATTGAAGCATTAAATAAGCACCTAATGTGGGAGATATAAAGATGAACAAATGAGATAGAAACCTCCATTATTAAGCAACTGTGTGGACCAAGCCCTAAAAATAAAATTTATTTAATTCTAATAAGATTGGCATTGTTGGGCTCATTTAACATGAGGAAACGGAGGTTAATGACCTTAATTATCTTATAATCTTAGTTTAAGGGATAGAGCTGAGATTCCTACTCAAATCTATATGCATGAAATATATGGGGTTGAAAAGAAAACTATATTAAAGCCAATAGCTGTGAAGTTAGTTGAAACTGCCTTTAAAAAAAATCCATTTTGCTAAGAACTATAAAAAAAACTGTTTTAGAAATACTATTATAAATGATTGAGAGAGAGTTCATTTTTATGTTAAAGGATCAAGTCTGGTTTAGGGAGTATATGGTACCCTAGCTAAGTATGAAGAGATGGGTAGTCATACAGTATAGTCAGTACCTAAGTCAGGGGAACACAAAGTGACCAAAGGTGTAGAGGTGAGAGAGTACAAAAAAGGACAGGTAACTATGTGGGGCTAGTATACTGAGTACCTGAGGTGTGTAATATGAGTTGTGATTAGAGAAGTAAGGTACGATAGCATGCATACGTGGTAAATATTGTGCCAGACTACTCTATTCTGAACATCACGGGCTGCCAGCAAATGTTTCTGGGTTGACAAGGTACCTGATGGAAGCTGCATTTCAGTATGGTTGCCTTGGCTGCCGTGGGGCGGGAAAGTGGTAGGCCGAAACAGGCAGCGAAGGAAGAGACCGGGAGGCTTCTATACCAAGGAAATACTGAACAAGGAAGTGTAATGAAAGAGAAGGAGGGAAATATTTAGGGAGGTGTCTCTAATCTCAAACTGAACATCCCTTCATTTTGTAAATCTCTTGGGAAGAGATCATTATGCTGCTTCTCAAATAGCTACATTCGGTTTAAGTCTGACATGATCTTTTCCTTCTGACATCTTTATTTGGCATACTGTTACCTTCTCTAAAGAAGGGGGGATGATTGTGAAATCCGAGTCCTAGGTAATAGCAATGAAAATCTGGATTAATATTTATGATTCTTGTCTTTGAGAAGTTTAAAATCTCCAGTCACAACCATTCCCTTCCATTAATTATTTGTGTACTTTCATCTTAACATCTTGCCACTTCAAGCTGTTAATCACTAATCATGGGGGTAGGCTTCTCAGAATATGTGGAGCCAGATTCCTGCTTCTTTCCACACCCTGCAAATCCTTTCCTTGCACGAGTTTCCTTTGAAGTCAATGGTAAGTCCATACATAGAAGAAAATATATGAGGTACTGAGAGAAATGAGTGTGAGGCCCAGGGACCGGAGGGAGAAATGTGTCTTTCTTCAAGCACCTTGATACATTTGACCCTACTCTCTGTAGGTTTTCACTACCACCCTAATGATTTCAGTTCTAAAACAGGGACTTCAGGTTCTTCAGGAAATATAGCTTCCAGAATGTTTTCCCATAGTGGGAGAAGGGGAAAAAGGAGTTGCAATTTAAAGTACAGGAAAACATGACAAAGTTGGAGTGATCTCTCACCCTTTGATTTCATTTCAATATTTTGTTTATGAACTTCAACAAACAGTCATGCACACACACACAAAAAATAGTAGAGCAAAATCTGATCCAAAGATATTTTTGAGTTGCTTCCCAAATTAAGCTTTTAACTGTTTTCAGTAAAACAAACATCAGTTGTTAATACATATGGAAGAGAAAGTTGAAACTGTTTTCTGCAAAGAAATTTTATTTTCTGATGCTGTTTTTGAATGATTTCTGTTTTGAATTTTTCTTTTATTTAAGAAGGAATTAATTTCATAAATGTGTGTATTACATGATGTACAACTAGCTTGAAATTCACATTTTTGAGTAATTAGTTACTGACTCAGTAGAAATGACTGAAGTTTAAGGGAAAGAGCCTAAGTCATGAGAAATAAATAATGAAAAGGTGATCCTGGTATCTGTTTCCGATTGCCTTTGATTAGTTTTGCAGCTCCACATAAGCTTTTTACTCCTATTTATTATCTAGTAAAGGGAAATTATAGATTTATTTGCTTTTTAGAATGTATTTTTATCTTTAGATAAAAGGTAGTGATGTAAAAATTTATCAGCATGGAAGGGTAGAATATTATTATGAGGTACAGCCACATATTAACATATTTCAATGGGACAACTGAGGAGCTATGGAATGAAACACAACCAGCAAATGCACAGGTTTTCTTTCTCTCAGCAGTCTTCAATGCTTGCTTTCATATTGCATGGTATTGAGATAAGAAACCAGAGCATTGACCAGGGATTCTATTTTATTTGATAATTCGTAAAATTCATATCTGAACTTAATGCTTATCTTAGACTTTTTAAATATCTCTGTCACTTAGATGTGCATAATGAATACATTATACATGAAGCCAATTTAATATTTTTGGTTAACATAATTTGAGAAAGAAATACATATACACATATATAATTCTTTCATTTTGGTGTATAGGTTTTTCTAAAAATATACGATCTGCATCTATTAGCTATATTTATTTCTAAGAAATATTCCTATTTGTACAGAAAATGAGATGATTATTACGCTATGAGATATTTCATAGCCGCTGAGAAACAGTGCACTAAGGTCAAAATGAGGAGAAACTCTTAATGAAGAAATTCATCTCCCATTAAAATGGTCCTGTGATAGGAACCAAAATTTGAAAATAATTACACTACTTTTTCTCTTGGGAGAATAAGATTCACTCTTATGCCAGACATTAAAGAATAAAATTTTAAAAACAAAACTAAAACAATGCATATTAATAACATTAACTATCCATATTGGTATCTAAATATTTACTTCATAAGTATATTTTAAAAAGCTCCTTCTAGTCCAAATATAATATAACTTTTTTTTTTAGAGTGAGTAAGTGGCATAGTAGCATTTCAGGTAATTAAACAAAGTCTATTGGTAAGTCAATGAGAATGTCAGAATTGTATCATCTGTCTGCAAATATTATGCAAGACATTTGGTCCACACTCAATAAATAACATGTTGATAGATTATTTGGTTGATTGAATTTCTGTGTTAAAATGTCTTTTAAATTGTATCTGTTGTACCATAGCCATTCAATCTTGTAGGGCAAAGAAAAATTAAAAATGAAAGCATTACTACATAAATTAGTACCAGCCTTTTGGGTCTAGTGTTCTGGAGTTTTATAGAGAACAAGAAATTTAGAGGAATTCATGTTTTTTCTCATTTCTTGGGAACTTCAGGTCAGGATATTAATAAGTAGCATCTGTCCATTTAATAAACCAACTGGAGCCAGTGGTTGCTGGCAAACTTGAAAGTATAATGCCATTCTTGGTACCTCACTCTGCTAGCCGTATTTCCAAATTTTCACCCTGTTTTCTTGACACATTTCACCACATATAAAAGCCAAGAATGCATTTCCTGTTCTCATGTCCAAGTTTCTTCTCTACTGATAGCCCTAAAGTAAATCTTCAGGAAATATTTACAAGCCTTAATTTCACATCCTTTCTTAGAAATTCTTCCAGAAAAGATGGCATCCTAAGTGTTTAAGAGTGGGGGTTCTGAAGCCAAGCAGCTGGGTTTCGAATCAGATCTTCTGCATGGTCATTTTTTCCCTGTGTCTTGATTTCTACATCTTAAAAATGAATATATTGTCACTGCCTTTGGTGTTCAAAGGACTGACAGGCAGAGGAGGGGCACCGCCATGTCTGACCTTACACCAGAGCTGTGGCCTCCAGGCCATTTTGATCCTCATGGTGAAGATGGTGATCATGATTAGAAACCAGATGACTTGAGGAAAATGAGGATAAAGAAGCAAATTCTTGATACTCTAATGGTATTAAGTAGATTACATCTTTTAGGATGTTTTAGTTTGTGTTCAGGTTTTTAACAGGAGGCTTCATGCTATCCAGAGGCCTTGTAGAATACTTTCATGAAGAAAAATGATATTGCTACATTAAAGGATAAAGTTTTACATATATTTGATTTGCAGCATTTGGCCTGATTTCAAGACAAATAGTTCAGTGATATTAAGAAACAGTGCCACAAAGTGCAGAAAACACCTACGTAGGAAATGAGAGGGGCTCGAAGATGACTAGTATGAGATACTTTAAAGAGGAAGTCTGAAGTATTTGTCCACTGCACCATTTTTAGTGAGAAGTTTCTCACCTGTCTTTGAATTGACTTATTTAATTAATACTATAACTTGCATACTGACTGAGTATAGAAGGAAATGATAAATTATAGAGTGTAATATGATATGCCTTGGTCCTTGCTTTCAGACTGTGTGGAAACTATCATGTTAATTATTTCTTTAGAGTGGACTCTGTCCTAATTTTTAAAAACATCCTTCATTTGAAAGAATGTAGATGAGTAACTCTGCATGACAAGTTATTTATTCTTTACTGGCTACAATATTCCTCTCTTGCTTTTAACTATCGGAGACTATCACTCCCCACCTCACTCCAGCCCCAACCCGTAGAGGTCTAGTACATTGTCAGATAAAATCATCATCTGGTAGATGATCCTTAAGGACCTATTTTTTACATGAGCCTTAAAAGTTTATTCTCCCTCTTTTTTACTATTAATAATAGAAGGACAGAAGAAAAGAAGAAACACACTTCATGAATTCAAAAAGTCCGCAAAGACCACTCTATTTAAAGAAGACCCATTACTGAAGATTAAAACCAAAAAAATGACTACTGCAGACCAATGTGCCAATAGGTGTATTAGGAATAAAGGACTTCCCTTTACTTGCAAGTAAGTTTCTTCATTTTATTCTTGGGATAATTTTCCAAATATAGCATGTACTTATTATCATCATGATTTTTTTTTGTATTCAATGTATTTTGCCCTTAAAATTTTAAGTTTGCCTTAGTTTTGAACACATTGCAACAGAAGACTTAGCTCTCAGGTAATGGAAGTTTGAGTAAGGAAGGGCATATAAACTGAAATCTTTTACAATACCCAGTGGCTTTGGTTATGGAATTTATGTTTTCTCATCTTATAAACAATTGAACTTTAGGAACTAAAATTTAGTTAGATTAAATTTTATCTCTCTAACATTTAAAAATATTCTATTCCAAGTAAACATTTTTTTTTTCCTTGCAAGAGGAGTAAAGGAATTTTCAGAATATAAGTTGGGCAACAGCCAAAATTTACTATAACTTATGTCATTGTCTTTGGGGATTTAAATAAAAGGTGTTGAGAGAATTAGATTAAAAAACTGGAGAGACTGGTGTCAGCAGCAGAGGCTTTTTAAAAGAAACTAGGGTTAGTGATGATGATGTTTTAGGTGAAAAGTGATGGGGTAATTCAAAGAGGCATGAGGGGACTTGGTGAGTTTTCTTATCTCATGAAAGTCCCTGTGTGACCTCACAGGGAAGAATTCCTTAATATTTTGCCAGTGATTCCAGAGGATAATATTTAAAGTTTTGGGCAATGAAGGTAACAATTTCATTTGAATACTTTCCTAACTGCCTGAGGAAAATACATTTCCTAGTTCTTCTCCATAAACATTTCTCCCCTTACTCAACGTTCCACCCTTTCATTCCCTATTTCATCCCACATTTTCCAGGATTGAGCATGACACCCTGTGAATTTTAAATTCTACTGTATTACATTTGGGTCACGACACATAATAGGAACACAGATTTAGTCAAGTCATGGCAAGTGGTCTTAATCTCATCTTGCCTTTCTCAGAGAAATAAGTATTATGGGCCTGAGGAGAAAGGATGTGGTCAGAGAAGGTCATCAACAGATTTAAAAGGAGGAGAGACTATATCCTTTCATTCATTTACAGCTCCTCTGGAAGTATTTTTGTAGCCAAACTGCCACTTTCAGGGAAGTGGGGGATTGACTTTGCATATATATTCCTATGTAGATTCTGTTTCCCCATCTTTCTGATAGAACCTTGAGATAGTTAAAAGTAAATTAGAGAAAATCACTCTCCATCAACATCACTGGAAATGTTATAGCAACTGAGGAGGGTGGAGGGACTGTATTTTACCCCCAGGTTTGGAAGGACTGGGCAAAGGGGATCGGAGAACCACATTTCGTTGGTTTTTAACTCTGAATCTGAAAATACACCCTCCTGGATTCACAAATAAGGAAAGAATTGCTACCTTTTGATTTTCACATTAATCAGCTTAATACCTATTAAAAACAAAACAAAACATAAAACCTTTTCCTTTGTTTTATTTAGGAGAAACTAAAATTTGTTTCCTTCGTTGAAGAACATGTGTGACATGATTAAGAAATCTTTACATATCCCATATACATGAGGTTTCATATTTTCCTGCCATATTCTGGTTGTGTGAAATTTAGTCTCCAAGTTTACGGCAACCTATACAGAAAAACACATGCAATAATACCTGTTTACAACTGAAGTTCTTCTGCCTGGAAACTGTGTCATCCTTGTTTATCTATCACATTATGTGTATGTTATACATATGTGTTTGGAGTCACTAAATACATTAGTTATTCAGAATTAGACATACTGTGATACTCTGAAGTTAGATTCTTAATAGACTAAAGAATCTTTTTGCTGATTTGTTATATGGTCTAGAATTATTGGAAAACAATGGCAAATAAAGGAAAATGTTTGGAATATACTAACAAAGCTGTGTGAAATTATTGGTGATTGGGTGATCATGGAGTGGAATATTCTCAAACAATGTTTCCTCTTGAGAAGGGATCAGCAATATTGATTTTATAGAGATTGAAATTTTTCTTTGATGGATAGGGAAGATGACCAGAATGCCTGATTCTAAGCTCTTCAGAAAATTTGCTATTCATCAATTGGCTCAAGAGAAAAACACAGGGGGCTTTCCTTTCCTGCCATGAACAACTAGAAAACTAGACTAAATAAATTCTTGAAATGAAGATGATAATTAAAACAAGGCTAAGATAAAGATTTGTAAAGTCAAACTTTAAAGAAGATGCAACTCATGAAATTGAACAGCTTGGATCCAGTCCAAATGGAGGTGTGATGATACAAGGAAACACTTTCCTGAGAGAATATATAGAGAAAAAAAATGAATGACATCAGCCTGGAAACCCTGTCCCCCACTTTCCAGATGTAATCACCTTGGTTTTCACAGAGCAAATCTTACATGACCCTGATGGGGCCCTTGCAAGGTGACCTCATGTCAAAGCTGTGTGGAAAAGTAGTTTAGATATGTGTGGTCCATTTTTATTTTAATGGGAAGTTAAGTGGCAAGTTGTTGGGTCTGTTACTTTAAAATTACTTTTAGATGTTTGTTTAGTTTTATTTTTATATGTGTTTTTTTAATCTAATTAATATGTATTCAAGGTCATTTAACACCCTCCCCTGCCACCCTGCAATAGGGAAATAGGGAATTTAGCAGGTATTGCATAAGCTTACAGTTTACGAGATCAAAATTCAAGTCGATTATTAGCCAATTCTATCTTATCAAGTGATTCTGCCACAGCTGCAAAAGTAGTACTTTTATGATTTGCTCTTAATTACTGTTTCAGCTGTAAAATGTTTTTATAGGTAGGCATTTTGGAATATCTATATGCAAATCAAAGCACAAAGTTTATGAATAGAATGTTTTGAAGTTATGGATATAGAATGCAATATAGTAAATAAAACATAAAATAACAGGGAAAATATTTCTAAAATTTTATGTCTTTTAAAATATTTGTTTTATAAATCTTATTTCCCCCTGTTTGATATTATTTAAAAGTTGTCAAATACTAAGAAATAAATGACTAAATTGAAATATCTAAAATTAGGAGATTATTTGTTCTCAAAAATATATGGACTGGAAGAAAAAATCCTTATTTTTAGAAAAAAATTAAAAGTACACAGATTTTCTAAAATACTTGTACATGGTGGCATTGTAAGTACAATAGTGAGACATTTTTATGTAATTCCTTAATGGAAGGAAAATAGTTCAGAATTCCAATACTATTTCACATATTATAAAAAACGGTAACGTTCAAAATGTAGAAAATTTTATCAAGCACCTTATTTACCATTCTTGGTTAAGACATTTTGCATTTATCATTTTTCTTCAGAAAGACATTTATATTGCCCTCCTTGGTTAAACCATGTGTCCATTCATTAAAATCTGTGTAAATAGTAGTATTCCTTCTTTTCATTCAGATATTTTTTTCAGGGCCTTTGTCTTTGATAAAGCAAGAAAACGCTGCCTCTGGTTCCCTTTCAATAGCATGTCAAGTGGAGTGAAAAAAGAGTTTGGCCATGAATTCGACCTCTATGAAAACAAAGGTAACTGGCCTTTCCTTAAATATTCATAGTGCAATAAAGTATAAAGTGTATGAAATTTCCTGCCACAGTGCTCCTTCCCACTGATATTTCTATTATATACTGCATCTGATATGCAGCTAATTCATCCATTAAGACAGATGACATGAGTACCTTGAGGATATTCAGTATGATACTTTTGAGTAAAGAGATCATTTCCCAAACTTTCTATAATTAGATAACTCTTTCTCTCTTTGTTTATTTCTAGGAGACTCTCCTAGAATTGGTGGTGTGCGTGTTATTTCAGAAAGTGCCACCTTAAGCTATCACTTTAAGACATCTTACATTATGGCTAATTTTGGGCTTACTGTAGTATTTTAAATTTTAACAACTTTCAATAACTTAGTTATAGTGATGATTGGTGATAATAAAAATGTGGAGATATTGAAAAATTAGTTGGATCTGTTATTTGGATCTATTTCTAATTATTATGTTCTTTAAAAAAATCTTTAAAAAAGAATTGAGACCAAATTGCTTGTTAATTTGTCTATTTTGGTATTCTGATATTATATTCACAAGGTATTTATTTGTTCAAAAGCAGAATTATATCAATAAATAATTGAAGAATATTAAATAAATATGGATTTAACAAAATAAATCTCTCATCACAAAAATAATCATGGACTGTATTTATGATAATAGTATTTATTTTCATTTTAATGTTTACTTAAATCACATTGTCTTATTAATGTGTGTATTTGGTAATATAAATAGATATTTTCTTCTTAACTGGGTATATATCTAAATTAAATTGAGATTAATTCATGGTAGACAATAAAAGAATCTCTATACACCCCAATAATTCTACAAATCCTAAACATTACTCATCATCTGGTATAAGACCATCTTCAATCTTCTAGGTTGCCAACACCTGTATTGTAGTTGAAAGCAACGATACTGTTTGACAGAAATATACAGCATGGTTCAATTTGATTGCCCTATAATTTAACAGTTGAAATGTTAGCAAAATTGAAAAAAAAATCAGCGTAATGTAAATATCTCCCTTTCTTGCACACATGTGTGTGCATCTATAAAAACCTACACAATTTTAGTGAGATACAGACAAATTAGTTATTTTTTATTTTCTTAAAGTAACTTTCTGAATTCTTTATAGGTTTTACAAATCACTTAATGGTCACTTTTAATATTTTCTTACCATGGTCTGCAGAGTTGAGCAAATCATTCCGCTTATTTAAATTTGTCAGGCCATGTAAGGAGATTAAATGGTAATGGAAAAAATACAATAAATTAAATGAAAAAATTAATTTCTCTGCTAGTTGAGTATAAAGACTATGTTAGTACATAGACTAATCTCTGCAGTAACCAGGTATATGCTCATAAAATGAAACTTCCCAATAATCTTTTTTTTGTTTTTAATTATCTGAAATGTATTATTTTGAAAATATTAGTAGAGTTTTAGGCAACATATTTCAATATGATTTGACATAGTTTTCAAGCATTAATTGCTTTAAGATTTGAATGGTATTTTCTTTTTCATTTAAATATATGCAGCATTGTTCACTCATAGCATTTTTCTCCTCTTTCTTCTGATAGACTATATTAGAAACTGCATCATTGGTAAAGGAGGTAGCTACAAGGGAACGGTATCTATCACTAAGAGTGGCATCAAATGCCAGCCCTGGAATTCCATGATACCCCATGAACACAGGTAAGAACATCGTGAAAAAGAGAGGATAAACCTCCTACTACTTCAGACTAATCCTACAGTTCTATAACTTAGCCAAATTTTCTTGAATTATATTAGGCCAAGGATTATGTGAGTCCATGACTGATATTTAGCCACAGATTAATAAATTTATAATTAAGATATGGCCTAACATTATCTTACATCAAAAACTCAATTTTGAGCCCCGGCTGGGTAGTCCAGTTGGTTAGAGCATTGCCCCAATTTACCAACATTGTGGGTTCTATCCCCAGTCAGGGAACATACAAGAATCAACCAATGAATGCATAAATAAGTGGAACAACAAATCAATGTTTCTATCTCTCTGTTTCTCTCTCTCTTTCTTTCTTCGTCTCTCTCTCAAATCAATAAATTAAAAGTTTTTTTTTTAAAAGTCTCAATCTATAGATCTTGGTATTTATGAAAAAATAATAAAAATGTAAAATTTTTAAAAGACTTACCCCTACTTTTATCTTTGGGAAAGTTCATCACTCTGCAGTTGAAATAAAGAAGTTGACTGCATAAATTAGGGATGGACAACATTCTGACCTTACCCAAGGGCCAAATATTCTTTAATTTTGTGTTCTCGAACTTAGCTGCACATTAAAATCACCTGCTAGGAGCCCTTAATGAATCCTACCATTCAGGTGTTAACATAGACAAATTAAATCAGAATCTGTTGAAGAAATAACCCATGTACCAGCATTTTTTTAATGTTCCCCAGATGATTCCAAAGTATAGTCAAGATTGAGAACCTCATGCCTCAGATTGACCAGCTTTCCCATCTTACCTATTGCCCAAAGACTGGAAAAACCTTTGGTTCCTTGGGAATTCAAAGTCTACACTTAAGAATTGTGTTCGTTATAACAGATGAATGCTATTAAAAATGAGTAAACATAGTATCCATAGGCTCATTAGTATGAAAGTTTCCATCCTAATGGAGAAACATAGATATCTATTAACCACTAGAGAACTAAACATAGCAAGATTTCAAGACTTATTTCCACAATTTTAACAGGAACTAAAGTAGTTGGAAATAGCTCTCCCTGGTTATTAAATGCATTAGAAGATTTAGTTTATCATGTGCAAGTTGCCTTGCTGGGAAGTGTAACTGGTTTATCTCATTCAATCCTCCCAAGAACCACATAGTGAGTAGTTTTATTAATTCTGTTTTATATATAGTGAAACTGAACCAAAAAGAGTCTTAGTAACTTTTCAAAGTCATTCACAGCTAGTAAGTGGCATGGCCAGAATCCAAGTCCAGCTAATGTCACTCTATAACCTTTGCTTTTCGCAACCTGCAGCATGATACCCTTAGCAGGCCAGTAGGACACATGCTGTGACTTGCTTTGCAATAGTGAGGATAATTTTACCTTGAGGAATCTACTTTTTATTCCTTTTCATTTTTTGAAGGGTTTAGTTATGTAGGATGATTTTACTTCAGTAAACAAAGAGGAGTTAATTGGCCCATAAAGGAAAAGTTTTTGTTGCTTCACATTGGGATCAAAACTGTGATCTCAGCCTAATTAACACCAACTAGAAACCAGTGTTACTGATCGGTTTGAACAAATAAGTATTTACAGTATTTCAATAGCAGAAAACAACTAATTTTTCCAAATTATATACTTTTAAGTATATACAAATATTTCTACAGTGTAGTATTGTCTTTATATTACAAAAACAAACAATATACTGGTAATTGGTTTTGTCCTCTCATAACTATTTGGATGGTGTCACTTCCAGGACAGTGAGGAACCCATTTTATCTAAATAGACATATCTATGCTTTTCATGAACAAAGGAACATTTGAAATCAATCCTGCCCAATCCTGAGAGTGCCCTGGACTGACCTGGTAGAGGTCTAGTTTCAACCCAAATTCTCTATGATTGTGATTCTACGCTAGAGGAGTAAATGTGAAATAAATCTCCCTGGGAACAGGCTTTCCAGTCCAATCAGCTATTTTTCCAACAATCAGTTCCTTGAGTCAGGGCTGAGAAAATCTTGTACATTAATCAAAAATATTTAAAATGCAATGGAACCAACACTTCATTATCATCCCTTAGCAGATTATTGGAACATCTGCATGATAGCTTAACACTTTTAAGTGTTAACGAAAGATTAACTTCATGGGAAATGGAAAGGGGAATATATATCTTTGTCAAGAGGAATGATTTCCTGTTGACTCCCTAAATTGAAATATTTTATAAGTGGCTTAATGGGAAGATGATGATAGATGACGAAATTAGTATAGAAGCTTAACTAGAAAATCAGGTGACCTGATATCTACATCTCTATCCTTCATTGGCTACCCTGCATTCATTAATAAAGCAGATGATAGAATAGATCAAGTTTCCTATGAGCACAGTTTATGTTAAAAGAAAAGGTGACTAGAACCCAGAAGATCTAATTTATATTTCAAAGTACCTTTACATATAGCTCAATTTTAAATATTTCTTACTTATCTCTCTTAAAGCCCTGCTAACAAGGGCAAGGAACCAAAAATAGTATGAATGTAGTAAAAGTTTATTACAGAGCTTATTGACTGGTGCATGGATGTTGTATAACAGGTTTTCATAAACATTTGTTGAATGAACACTAGTAAGTGAAAAGGCCAGGGCTAGGCATCACTCCTTGGTCAAGTATGGGGTGCTAAAGAAAAGCATTCCAACTCCACAGAACACAAGGGAAAACAAGTTAATTTGTATAAAAAGCCAAAGGATGAAAAGATGACCCAGAATGCTCTTTACCCTCCAGGTCTTAAAGAAGAACCTGATATTCATTGATACAGAATTGTGGAAAGGAGCACATTTTTTCATCCCTCATTTTGTTAATTCCAGTGGGGAAACTTTACTCATCTTTCAGTCATATTTAGGTTTGATTTCCACTTTCTCTCTCTTCCTTCTGACTTTTTTTTTCCTATTATACCGCTTACTGATTCATTCACTACATTTTCACACCTTCTTTTTGACTTTACAAATCCACTGGAAATATATGTGTGTATATATTTATTTGTGTGTGTATATGGAACAAAAATCTCTAAAACTGTTGATATTTGTGTGCATTTAACATGTACTAAGGCCATTAGTTTGTTTTTTAATTTCTATTTATTGATTTGAAAGACAGAGAGAAGGGAGAGAAGTAGGGGAGAGAGGTGGCGGGGAGAAAGAGAGAGATACATTTGTTGTTCCACTTCATTTGTTGATTCTTGTAGGTGTCCTACCCAGGGATTAGACTCCCAACCTTGGCATATTGGGACAATGCTCTAACCAACTGACCTACTTGACCAGGTTGTATTTAGTTTCTTAAATAAAGTTAATATGGTACAAAATAAAGGACCTCATAATAATCCAATTCCCTCCATTAATCTTACAAATCTAGAAGTTGAAAATCCAAGGAGTAAATAACTTTGAAAAGTTGAAAACCGAAAGAATAAACAAAGTCTAGCACTGGTGTCATACACCAGTTTAGACACACAAACACACACACACACACACACACACACACGCAGATTTACATGGCAGCAATGTAGATTTTTTGATTAATAATAACTCATTCTTACTACTCTACTGAACTTTTCTTTTCTCTTTTATTTAGGTTTTTTTATTGTTCAAGATCATTTGTCTCCATTTTCCTTCCACCACTTTCCCCCACCCCACCCACCCCCACCTCCCATCCTCAATCTTACCCGCCTTTTTCCATAAGACAGAGTAACAAGAAAATTTTCTAAGATAAATTTGATGAATACATTACTTTATGAAAAAGGCAAAATCAGTTTGGAATCTATAAAAATGATGATTTTTTCATTATAAATCTATGAAAAGTTGGAGAACTGACAGAGATGAAAGAAAAAAAATTAAACAATACCATAATGGGACTAAAACTAAGACAAAAGATGACTTTCAACTTTGAAAATTAAAACTGTTAGGAAGCTGTGAAATCATTATGACCTTCATTGTTCTAATTCTGTCAATCATATGGACTAATGTCTAATTTTTGTTTTTTCATATTTAGAATGCTAGTGAAGTCATTCTGTAAACTTTTTATCTAAAGATATTTTGGAATTTAATAATATTTATAATATTTAATAGCTTCCTTGAAAATATTTTGTTAGTAGTAAGTCTCTTAGACTAAACTCTGTCTTTTGACAAATTTATATTTTCTAAGGATTTTACTCTGGTGTACTTCACATTCAAGTGAAATTTGCAATTTTAGTGCAAAATATTGCTTAGTACCTGATGTATGTCCACATTCATTTTCTGTCACAACATAATGAAAAAATGATGATTATTTTCATTAGATGTTTCAATGCAAAAGGAACACATTTGAATGATATTTAACAAAAGACTAACATTCTTGGACTTTAAGTACTATTTAAAACTCAGAAATCAGTAAAAGTACAAAAAGCTTTACAGCAAAAATAGAACTTAATATTGAAAATGCTACCAGATTTTCAAAACAGTGTTTACTAGTGTTACCTACAGATGTATATTCTTTATTTATGATTTTTTGTGTATGTGCCATCTAGCAGACAAATACAGTATCATTGAGGTCAGTACCACAAGCAGTACAAAGAATAAAAAAGGTTCTTGATTTTGATATTGTGTTGAAATACTTTATGCTGGTAACAACACTCTGACTAGGGCATTAGAAATTTTAAATGAAGGTAATGTATTGCAGTTTCTGCACCCAATGGCCAACTATTATGAATTAAACCTGGAAGCACCAAGTCTCAGTCACAGTGAAAATAACTAAAATTTTTGAAGAGAATAGCAATCGTGTTCTTTACTTCCACAGAGCAGAGACTACTAAGTGGAGCATGCTTAATAATAGGTAGCATTTATTGTCAATTACTCTGTCATCTCTTAGAACTTCGCAAAACAACCATATAAAGTGTAAGATGTTGTAAATTAATGGTTAAATTCATTGTAAAGGTAGGCTAACAGGCTGAGAGAGACTAAATTACCTGCTGGGTCCTCAGTCAGTAAGCAAGAGAGTTGAAATTTGAGTCCAGGTTTAATTTGATTATAGACCTTTCGTTTATGTTACTTCATCAATCTATTTCTCAGTTGTGCAGAAAATAGGAGGGCTATTCTTCATAATAAAAGCAAAAAACAAACAAGTAATTATGTGGGATACGCAGTGTAATTGTGAGATTTCAAGGTCAATTGCAGTGTTTCTTCAGTTCTCTGATTAGTAGCCTTGCTCAGTCACTTGCTATCTTTAAATGAGGCTTTAAAATTGTGGTTCAAACAATGTTCATTACATTCTCGAATGTTTGCCTTTTTTGCAAATTCAAAGATGAATCATGCTTAATGATTTTGAATATGTGAACTAAGTTAGGTAAATGTTTATAAAATTTAAGGATTTTAAAAATGGATGCAAATTACAATTCAAGTTAATCTCCTGGATGGGGCAAAAGTAGATTTACAATTGTTCATATGGAAAATAATACAATAATTAATACTACAAGAATGAACTCTGTGTTTCATGTACTCACAACTATAAACCTGCTTTTCCCCACCCAATATATGGGAGTCTGAGTTAGAATAAAGGTTTCTCTACTTTAAGGAAAAACATACCCATAAATTAGCAAAATTAATAGGCCAAAAGTGAAGTTGCATGCGCTTATACTGTAATGATTGTCATTTTAAAACTAGCTTTTTGCCTTCGAGCTATCGGGGTAAAGACCTACAGGAAAACTACTGTCGAAATCCTCGAGGGGAAGAAGGGGGACCGTGGTGTTTCACAAGCAACCCAGAGGTACGCTACGAAGTCTGTGACATTCCTCAGTGTTCAGAAGGTAAATGAACCTGAATGCCGTGTGGGGCTCTCTGCTCCTCCTTTGTGTAGAACTGCAGCTCTCCTGAAAGGTTAACAGAATGAATCAAATCACAATAAATATGTTGTTCATTCAAATACAACTATAGAGAATTATCTGAGCATTTTATACAAAGTTTTAAAACTGAATTATCACAAGATTAATGTAGAATAATGGAGCGAGTTATCAGTTTGTGGATTTTAGTAGTGCCGGAGGCATCCTTCCGGGGAGAGTCAAAGTTTGGGCTTCTTCATTTACTATCTGGAGCTCATGTACCTCAAAAATCTGATCCTGTACATCAGCTGAAAGGAGCTAAATGAAACTTACTCCTCATGAGTAAAGCTAATGCTCTATTCATCCAGCTCCTGCTTCCACAGAAATTTTATCAAACCTACTCTGACGTGCTGTGGCAAGGGTATATTGACCCATAAGAGAAAATGGGAGGGGGCGGTCACTGGAAGTGGATACACCTGTGTGTGTTTTGGTACAAATATGACTCAAACCAAATCGAATACATAGACTGTGGCAATATTGAGAATATTACGTGAAGGATCAAAGCTGTCTTGAAGGCAGGCACCCTAAATCCATATCTATGTTTTTACCTCCTCTCACAGCATAGGAGGGCACTGTCCTTACTTTTGCAGTGGAAAACTAAATGGCTGACGAGAAGGAAGAGTAACCATTTCAGCACTGCATGTGGTTTTATTTTTCTTAGTTATCTGACTACCAAATAGCTGGCTTTTTAGTTTTGTCAGGCACTAAAATTTGAAAATCCAAATGAAACATGGATTAAATTCTGATATAAATTTCGTAGGATTTTGAAGTACTTGGGGGCGGGGGTCTGCTGAAATGCTGTCAAATTTTTATAGTAAGGTATCTTACCAATTTGTTATTAACCAACTTTTTAAAAAATCTATCTTCCATAAATATCAATTTAATATTAGGTTGATATTATCACATAAAAAGACCATTGTTAGTTAATTGTCACAGAGAAGGTGAATATGTTTTCTGTTGTCAGTTAATTTAAAGTTCTTGACTTCATGTGCTAGAGCCAGTTCCATCTGTTTGTAAATTCTTACCTTTCATTCATTCCATATCATATTCTGTTCACTATAACTTCTTCATTGTTTTCTTCTCTTTTAAAAATAATAAACTGATATGTGATAACATTATGAACAAGTCTGTTTTGTATGAATAAATCTGTAATTAATGTTTGTATTAAATTTACACATGGAAGAAAATAACCTACTTTTCAGAAACTCCATTATCACAGTTTTCTGAATATCATTGCAGGGGATTTTGTTATTGGTTTTGTTTGACCCGGGAAAGTGTTTTCAAGGGAAAGTAACTTTGTCAAACTGTAAATAGTTTAGCATTTATGTTACCTGCCTAGTTGTGTGAGAATGTGATTTTTCAACCCCTGATTTATAACAAGAACGTTCATCAAAATACACTTGTATAGATCTGAACTGATAGGCGATGTAGAATAAATGTGCTAGAAAAGAAATATTTTGTAAAAGCCCAATTTCTAGTTATTCTTATGTCATTAGACTATACATCTCTAATATCCTGTAATCACTTGAGGTCATCGCATCTCCCTTGAAATGAGCATTGCTCATTAGTATAATGGTACATGATGCTGTTGGTTGCCATGGCACTGAAGGTTACAGGTATGCTTTTTCTGGAAACAATTAGAGATCTCACAGTAGTAGAATAACCCTTCTGTGAGAGAAGTAAACCAACACCTGCCCTGTAGGCTAAACATATTTCAGGGACTATGAACTGAGCTGCAATGTTTAAATTTGTTCTATAATGAACAGTGTTTTAGCAGGATTTTAATAAAGAGGATGTAAAATAAGTATTATCAATACATTAATAAAAACTGAGCTCTTTATAATATAATAAAAATACACAAAATAGTGTATGCATGATGTAAATTTCTATTAAAATACAAATGTGAGGGGGAAATGTCAAAATCCAGAATGCTTAAGTAATATAATGGGTGAGCTCCTTTTTTCTATGGGTATAAATTTATTAAATGACAGTTACCAGAGGTTGCATTATTATGGATGTGGTAGTAATGATCAAATCATTTTGAATATTTAAAATTAAGCATGAAAAATACCTGACAAACTTTAAACAAACTTTAAACTGTTTGTTTAAAAAGACATGTAGAACAATATATATATTTTTGAAACACTTGTAACAAACTCTTAAAGAATTATCTGAAATTTGTCTGAAAGTTTGGTTCTTAGAAGACATATATATGTGCATATGATGTCAATGATTAATATTATTTTCTTATAATTTAAACCTTTGAAATATATTAAGCATTCCCATAGAACATAAATACTTTTAAACATTTAAAATCTTACATAATTACATAAATAAAAAAAGGACCATTAACGTTTGATTCAAAGATTGTAGAAAATCAAGGTACGAAAATCTAGTGTCTTGTTTTAACATTTGCGTGGGATTTAAAATAAAGTCACGACTAGTCAATTGGAACAGATGTCTTTTTAATTACTGTCAAATATTCAGGTAAATATATTTTAACCTGTAATCATTAATTTTTAAGTCGTATGCTTAAAATCTTAAATAATAATGCCATAAATTTGTGTTCATTAGAGTCTGTATGGAGAAAGACATTTAAAAACAAAGGTTTAAATAAACTATTATTTCTAAATGTGGATTTGTGAGACTATCCATATTTTAAAACATTTAGTTTTTCTGAAGTAATCACCAGCATGGAATTTTCTGAGATACTTTCAAAATATCTATTTTAGACTGTAAACTCAGATCACCTGTGGTTTTATGATTGAGAAAATGGAGCATAGTATTTTGAGTTAGTTGGTTAATACCATAAGAAAGATGTTAAGTTAATCATACTTATGTTACAATTTGTGTGTAATTTTTATAGTTTTCTACTACTATTTAGGTCAGAATTCTATTTAGAAAAAAACTACTTATGAATAGAAATATTCAGTTTGCGTTTATGTCACCTGGAACAGTATTTTACATTTTTTGGTTTTGTTTTAAAGGGAAGAACTTGCTAGGAGGGTTAAATAAGACTCCGGCTATAATAATGAAGGCCAACAGAAAACAGAGCAGGAGGAGCAATGCTCACCCTCTTGCACTGTTATATAGACTATGCTTTCTCCTAGTTCTTTGAGTAGGTGAATTGGCTTCTATCTCTACTGCTTAACTTTAAGCTGCAAAAACTAGTAAGAGTCTTAGAATTCTGGAAGTTTGAAACGTGACTGTGAGCTTAAACTTTGGCTTTCTTGAGGTAATTTTTATGACTAACTTGGTGGTTTGATGCAGTGGTAAAACAACAAACTTTTTAACCTTGGAAAAGACCAGTCTACTTGCTTTCCCATGGCCTCCTTTTCCACATCCTCCAATAGGAGAAAATCCAACAGGTGGGCAACCTACTGTTGAAAACAAGATGGTAAAGGGTAATTGGGACAATGTTGAAAAAGTCAGGGAAATTGACTTTCTAAAATTATTGCTATCAGTTTATTTTAAAGTATGACCAGTTAGAATGTATAAGGACACATTAAAATATGTAGAACACAAAGGAAGTTAGGGAGAATGGAAAGAACACTGAACTATAATAGGTCAGAAGACCTGTGTTCCAAGTACAAGTTTGACATTTTCTGTTTTAGGTAAGTCCTTTAATAATTTTGTGAGTTTTTCTCACTGCAAAGATCAAATAATTTATTATGTATTAAAATCACTGAATAATCAAAGAATACGTAACAGTAATATATTTAGCATCTCATTTCTATCACAGAATACATTTAATTTTTACCCAACAACATTCATTGATTACCAAAATCTAACATTATTCTTTAATTTTTTCTTGTAACTATTTTATTGTTTATGCCACTACAGTTGTTCCAGTTTTCCCACCTCCACCCAGCCTGCACCCCATTCCCACAGTCAGTTCCCAGCTAACATTTTTCTTATTAACATTTATTTAAAAAAAACTCACTAGGTCTGAAACTTCATTCATACTGTCTCTTTACTATAAACATACTAATTCATGTTTCTATACCATTTTGCTCCTTTTATAGCTAATCCAACTCTCATCCATACTTCAAGGAACAAGTAAAATTCACTCTTTTCTGAAAAGCTGTCTCTGCCAAACACTTAAAACTTTTAGAATAGAACAGATTTTCAACAAACCTACTACTCGACATGGAGCATGGACAAGAAGCATCAGCATTCGCATGGAGCATCCCCACCTCCAGTAACACTTTGTGAAAACTTGCTCTTTAACAAGATGCTCTTTAACATTTAATGTGGACATTGTATGCACATTAAAGTTTGAAACATTGGTTTAACACACTCATTCTAGAAAGTGATCATAAAGAAATTAAAAATACTGAAGTCCAGAAAAAATATTTTATTATAATCCCAATAGTATAGCTTCCTGAAGATAATTTCGTTCACTCTCATTTAAAGGGATAAACTCTTATAAACTGCATTTGCTGAAGGAGACAAAACAGATATATTCTAACTCCTTGAGTGCTATACAAGGTTGGAAATTGCATATGTGGACTCTTAGGTGTGATTGTAATTTGTTATTCTACTTTTTTCTTTAATTGCATTCAATTTTTCATTCAATTGTATTCATTTCATTACAAAGGAGCAAACAATGATAACACATTTTCTATGATGATATCGAACCTTGCATTCTTTTAAAACAGAGTACTAAATAAACCTGTATCTCATTCAGATGGAAAGCTGGAATGTGATAAGGCACAACCTATGCTGAGCATTTCAATGTGGAAATGACCTTGGCCAAACAGAGAACCTTTATCAATATGCTCTTGGACCCCTCTTATTTATAGTTCAGGTGCTTACTGACTGTAGTCTGGGGAATCTCAGGATCAAATGAGAAGAAGCTGAATTGGTCCCTTGTCTTAGTGCACAGATTAAACTATATGAAGAGGAGATGGATCAAGCCAAACAGTTTCATGTTTTGGAAAGTTAATAGTTAATGTCCTATTAGATTATAAAAATCAAAAGTTTAAAAGTGATTATTCTGATACTATACCCCAAATGATTACAAATGTTCATTAGGCTAGATCTTGGTAGATAAAACTAAACATTGATATCTTTGCTCCCTTTCAGCTACAGTTAGATGATCAGTAATCACAAGATACTAATGATGTGTTTGGGGAACTTTGCCTGATCCGTAGGAAGGCCAAGCAATGATTTATTCCACAGGGTGCCTGCTGTGCTACAAATCAACCTGTCCATTTGAGAAGTCTCTTTTCTAGCTGGTTGATGTGATTCAGAGTTTTCAGTGTGTCGTAAGAGGCCAGCCAGAAGAGCACTATTAATTAACCATACAGAATCATCAGTATGATCCTGCATAACTAGATCAGCTTATACATTTTAAAAACAGTGAGTATAAGGAGTTCAATATCAGGTCAGCTTCCATCCTAAGCTAGATAAGAATACGGCCTGCCCAATTATTCAACATGGATGTTCACTAACAGAAAGGAGCTGTGATTTCTTCTTTTAAAATATCTGTGTTCGTTGAATAATACCAGATTTATATTCAAGGCTGGTCTTTGCAATCTCTTGTGACTTAATTTGGCATTAGCTCTAGGAGTAAGGCATATACTCCTTTCCTGTGTATATAATTGGAGGGTAAGTTGAGAGGGGACCATTATTATACTGACAGTATTGATACTGTCATCCCTTGTATTTTAGACCAACTAAGAGAAAAACCCCAAGGCTCTCTATTTGATATTTCCAGTTCCTAAGCACCTTTTGGACAGTTATTGAAAAATTAGAAAAGCAGTCTCCTGGCCCTGTGGTAAATCTGTATGACACTAAGTACAAAAATTCCATTTAAGCTATAAGAAAAGTTCTGTAAGCAGTATTTCATGTCATTTTGTATAGACATTAGGCCCTAATTTAAAAATGTATGTAACATTTTCTAAAAATCTCTTTCCTAAACAGGTGATTTACTATTCTTTAAATAGAACAGTGGTGCTCTTGATTTTTTGTCAGAAGCAATTAACATGCCATACTTTAATTTTATTAGTTGAATGCATGACCTGCAATGGGGAAAGTTATCGAGGTCCCATGGATCATACAGAATCAGGAAAGACTTGTCAGCGCTGGGATCATCAGACGCCACATAGGCACAAATTCATGCCAGAAAGGTAAGATAGCACCAAATCATGCTATCAATGATTATTTTCTCAAACTGATTTTTGCTCCATAACAAACTGAAATAGAAATTCTTTTCATACGATGTATTCTGGAAAGTCTCAACGGGACTGGTGATGAGGTATATGAAGATGCTGGTACACCTTCAGTTGGTCTTGGCTGACTAAATTAAGATTCCCAGAAATCAGGATGGTCCTGAGGAGCATCAGTGGAGTGTGGAAGAGAAGCATTAACTTCCATAGCAGAAAAAAGAGGCCCATTTAATAGAGGCTGCTTTGACAATCCTGAGCTGTGGGAAGAGGCATTATTGCTAAATACAAACCAATATCCTTTTAGAGCCACATCTTCAGTGAGTTAAGTACAGTGGGCTCACATGAATGATAACATGACTGAGGCCATGTCCGTACAAGATGATGAACGGTAGAGCAAACAATTTTTCAGCTGCTTTCCCTTGGTGTATTTTGAAATTGCCAATCTGGAGAAGTCAGGTAACCAAGTCTACTTTCCCTTAGGAATAGGTTTGGAACTTAAATAGTTAAAAAGAAATGTCTACTTTGGCCCATTCATTTCACATTAAACAGTTGAAAAAAATTATTTTTATTATAAAGAATAAAAATACAGATAATTACAGAGGAAACTCTATCCCTATCTTTGTATAGAAATTGCTGGAAAATGTTTTTTCTCCTCTATATTTTTGTTTATTGTTATTCTAAATGAAATTAAAATTCTGCTTTATTTTTTAGTGTATCCCTCATCTTTCAAGTGAGAGCAGGAGGGACATGGTAGCAATTAAAATCAAGTGGCCAATGGAGGCCCCAGTTAATTTAAAAGGGGAGTGTATAGAGAAAACGGTGTGATGGAGTTTGTCTCTTGCTCTGGTGGAGGTGAGGGCATGACCTAGAAAGGCTCTAGTTCCAGAATTGAGCTATCATTAGTAACAGCTATTGAAACCTACCTTTTGATTTAAGCTTCAAGCCTGTCATAGAGGAGAATCTGTTTTCTTAAAGAGCATTTACATGAGGTCACATTTATGTCATCTCTCCTTAATTGAGCTTTATAAAAACTGGATTCATTTGGGACCCCAACTGGTAGACAGGAACCAAACGGACTTATTAGCAAAGGCGATGGGTACTCTGTACTTGGTGGAATATATAAATTAATAGCTTCAATATTCAGTGATGAGCAGTCCTTGTAAGATAAAACATAGAGAACTTGTTTTTACCCCAGCTAGCACTATCCAGGCTAAATCAAAAGTTATTCTGTGAGCCAAGGGCTGGGGGGGTGTTTCCAGGCAGATTTACGTGACACTTTTGTTGGTGTGGTTTGCAGATATCCCGACAAGGGCTTTGATGATAATTATTGCCGCAATCCCGATGGCAAGCCAAGGCCATGGTGCTATACTCTTGACCCTGACACCCCTTGGGAGTACTGTGCAATTAAAATGTGCGGTAAGTTAGAGTCAAATTTATTGCTTCCTTTTCCCCTCACAGATTGGATCTAAGCAGGTGATTATTAGTAAGACAGGTTGACAACTATTTTACTTGATGCTTTAATGTGTGTAGGTTTTAATATTTTAAAAATATGTTACATAATCCTGCCCAAGCCATTATTTGGAAAGAGATAAGTATGCAAGTGTACACATACACACAAAACATTTACACTTATCGAAAAGCCTAAACGTTCTCATGTTACCAAGAAAAAAAAAAGAAGAAAAATTCACAGAAGGAGAAAAAGATCAGGGATTTTGTGCAATAGCATAGGCTGTACAAGTTAGGACTCTAGATTCTTACCTTCCAATCCTGTATCCTTTCCCTACCTTTCCTCCTCAGATATAACATGAGTGGTCAGCTAACTGTGAACCTCTTCTCATGAATGACAGGAGCCGCGGTGGTGAACAATAAGTCCACTGGAAGGTTCTCACAGTTGGCTTTAATCTCTAGTAGCTGATCCCCACCTGTCCCTGTACACAACCTACATTCTGTTTCAACCTCTTTGAGCAATCTTGTGATTCTTTTCTGCGATATATGCTGTTCTTTACCATTCTCCTGAATCTGTGACAAAAGTTTCTTTTCTTAACGTGCTTTGTGACATCCCTTTAAATCTTTGTGCTTGGGCCTCTCCTCCATGGTTAACTCACATGTTTTACTTTTCTGAAATAATACTACTGAATAATAATTAGATATATATGTACTTTTATTTCTTCTATGTTTATTTAGAAAATGGACATAAAAAAAGAAATACTACTATTGAATAATAATTAGATATACACATGCTTTTATTTCTATGAGTACAGGTCTTATTTTTTTTCAACTGAATCCTAAAATGTTTTAAGGCCAGTAGAATTGCATAAATTTAGTGAGGTATAATAATGTTATAAATTGGCTTGAATATATATATATAAAATGTATAAAATTAGGTACCAGCACTCAGGATGATAACTATACAATTATGAGGATGCAGACATGTATTTGTGTATTTCCCTAGAACAGGAGGAGGATGGGGATATTCCTCTGAACAAACCTAAACCTAATTTGGTGTTATCCACAGTATGATACTGCCAAGGTAAATCTCTCTTCACTTAGACCTGCTCATAAAAGTAAAGGGTTTTGGATGACTCAAAGGCCATAGAGAGGGATGTGTCTGGCATATGTGAAATAATTACAGAATCTGGAAGGCTCTCAATGTGAACACGATGTTCCAAGGAAATTGAATCATCTGTTTGGTCCTTTAAAATAAAGATGACTACTGTGACAGTGTTTCTCTCTATAGATTATTCGAATTAGTTCTACTTGTTGACTTTTAAAATCTCGTTACCCTTTCCATCATCCTAGACTATTTAGACACAGTGGTTTTCCTTCTTTGTGTCTGTGTGTGTTTTAGGTACTCTTAAAAATCTCCTCTGTTCATAGTTTCTGATCTTCATCTTTTTCTTAGATAAGTCCCTTTAACATTTGATTATAGTAAGGGCTTGGTGATGATGAACGCATTTAACTTTACCATATATCTGGGAAGCACTTTGTCTACCCTTCCATTCTAAATGATTGCTTTACTGGAGAGAGTAATCTTGTATGTAGGTCCTTGGTTTTCATGACTTTGAATACTTCTTGTCAGCCCCTTCTTGCCTGCCAGGTTTCTTCAGCTAATAAATAGTCTTATGGGGATTCCTTTGTAGGTAACTCTCTCCTTTTCTCTTGCTACTTTTAAGAGTCTCTCTTTATCTTTAATCTTTGGTAATGCAATTATGATGTGCCTTGGTGTGTGCTTCCTTAGGCCCAGCTTCTTTGGGATTCTCTGAGCTTCCTGCATCTCCTGGAAGTCCATTTCCTTCACCAGATTGGGGAAGTTCTCCATTATTTTTTCAAATAAGTTTTCAATTTCTTGCTCTTCCTCTTCTCCTTCTGGCACCCTTATGATTCGGATGTTGGAACATTTCAAGTTGCCCCAAGGGTTCCAAAGCCTCTTCTCATGTTTTTGAATTCTTGATTCTGTTCTAGTTGAATATTTATCTCTTCCTTCTGCTCCCAATCATTGATTTGCATCCTGGTTTCCTTCCCTTCACTCTTAGTTCCCTGTATATTTTTCTTTATTTCACTTTGCATAGCCTTCACTTTTTCCTTCACTTTGTGACCATGCTCAACCAATTCTGTGAGCATCTTGATTACCAGTGTTTTGAACTGTGCATCTGATAGGTTGGCTATCTCTTAATTTCTTAGTTCTATATTTAGACATTTGATCTGTTCTTTCATTTGGGCCATATTTCTTTGCCTCTGAACGTCAGAAGGGACAGAGCATTAGATATTTGCCAGGGCGGGGCAACCCAGGTCGCTGCATTGTGATGCTGTAGTATGTGGGGGACAGGTCTGAGAGGGAACAAGACCACTTGTATGTGGGGGACAGGTCTGAGAGGGAACAAGACCACTTGCTCAGCTCCCTACAGCTTTCAGTCACTTCCCCCTGCTACCCACAAGCCAACTGGGCCCTTCTGGTGCTGACTCCTGGGTGAGTGGGTTTGACAACAAACTCACAACTATCAACAACTGAACCTAAGAAAACCCCAAAAACAAATTAAACAAACAACTAGAACAGGAACAGAATCACAGAAATGGAGATCAGAGGGGAGAGGGAGCGGGGAGAATGGGGGAAAAGTTACAGGGAATAAGAAGCATAAATAGTAGGTATAAAATCGACAGGGGGAGGTTAAGAATAGTATAGGAAATGGAGAAGCCAAAGAACTTATATGTTTAACCCAAGGACATGAACTAAGGGTGGAGGGAATTCTAGTGGGATGGGGGAGTGCAGGGTAGAGGGGAATAAAGGGGAGAAAAAGATGGGACAACTGTAATAACATAATCAATAAAATATATATTTAAAATAAAATAAAAATAAAAATAAATACACAAAATCTTTAAAAATAAAAAAAAAAAGCCTTCTCTGGAATAAGACCAGTATAATACACACACACACGTACACTCCCCTGAACATTCACCCTTCAACTGACACCAACAGCAAAAAAATCCAAGTGTTGTCTTCTTTTTATTTTCCAACCAATCTTTGGTTATTTTTAAAAGACATTGGGAGAAGAAAGAAATAGAATAAATATAACACTTCATACCTATTAGATAGATGTTTTTTCTTTTCTCTTCAGGGAAGAGTTATCTAATTATGCAAGTGGCATGCAATAATTCTCATGGATTTGCTCAACAGAGGGTAGTGTTTATAGAATGTTACTTGTAAGAAAATGGTAGAATTTGTATGTCAAATATACAGAGTTAAGATTAAGATAATCTTTTGAGCTTTGGTAATATTTTAGACATAATTTATTACAGGGTAGCTCTTAATTTATAAAATTACATAGAGAGTTCACACTTTTGATGTCCAGAGGGAAGGGGGACAGGAACTGGGTAGAGGTGTGTGAATGGGGGGCAAGTGGGGACACTATCTGTAATAGTGTTAATAATAAAAATAAAAAATTTGAAAAATGAATAAAAGTTGACATTATGGAATTCTGGAAAGAATAATAGATGTTTTATGGATATCCTTTTAAATATTTTGACTTTGAAATATAATGAAGCCTATAATGCAAAAGCAAGAAATTTGGTGGTGGTTTCAATTGCACATTATTTTTTCTACTGCTGCATAACACATTACAAAAAAATTTAGTGGCTTAAAACAATACATATTTATTTTCTCACGATTTCTGTTGGTCAGTAGCCCAGGCATGACTCAGGTGGGTTCTCTGCTTAGGATCTCACGAGGCCGTGACCTAGGCGCCTGCCAGAACTACTGCCCCATCTAAAACTCAGGCTTCCATTCCAAGTTCACTGGGTACTGGGAGAACTCAGTTTCTTGTGGTTGTGGTGCTGAAGTCTTCAGCTCCCAGACAATACCTATTGTTTCCTACCATATGACCCTCTCCACAATATGTCAGTTTACCTCTTCTACACCCTCTTTTAAAAGAGCTTGCTTAATTAGGAAAGGCATACCTAGGGTAGCCTTCCTTTAATTAACTTCAAGCCAACTGGTTAGGCAGTTTAATTACATCTGTAAATTTTCTTCACTTTTATGAAGCTTCACTTTTAAGCTAATAAACTAATCACAGGAGAGGCTCTCCCATAATGTTCATACCCACATTCAAGGGGAGGGAGTTATACAGAGTGTACACCAGTGGGTGGGAATCTTGGGATTCTGTATACCACACACATATTTACATGCACTGGTTGTAACGGAATTTTGATTACCACTTTTTATATGTATTAGTTTTTAAATTTTATTTAATTTTTAATTTTTTATTGTTGACATTACTACAGATATTTCCTATTTTCTACCACTTTTCCCACCACACGATGCCCCCTACCCCACACTGTCCCCCATGCCAACCTTCACCATATAGTTGCCTGCGTCCATGGGCTCTGCAGATATACATATGTGTTCTTTGGCACCCCCACCCCTTCCTCTCTGCGATCTATCAGTCTGTTCCATGTGTCCATGACTCTGGTTTTATTTTGTTAGTTTATTTCATTTATTTAATTCCACAGATGAGTGAGATAATATGGTATTGTCTTTCTCTGACTGGCTTATTTCACTTATCATAATATTCTCAGGTCCATCCATGCTGTCATGAAGGGTAACTTGTTTTTGTTTTTTTTTTCATTTTAATAGCTGTGAAGAATTCCATTGTGTAAATATGTCACAGCTTTTTATCCACTCCTCTACTGATGGGCACTTGGGCTGTTTCCAGAGCTTGGATATTGTAAATAATGCTGCTATGAACATAGGATTGCATATTTTCTTTCTGATTAGATTCCCAAAAGATATAGTCCCAGAAGTGAGATTACTGGGTCAAAAGGCAGTTACATTTTTAATTTTTGGAGGAAACTCCATACTGTTTTCCACAGTGGATGTACCAGTCTACATTTCACCAACAGTGCACTTGGGTTCCCTTTTCTCT